GTGTGTGTGTGTGTGTGTGTGTGCGTGTGTGTGTGTGTGTGTGTGTGTATATCTGCATGCGTTGTCTAGACCAGGGAGCAGAAGCCGCCACAGCTTCCCCCGCCCCCGTCATCGTCGGAGAGCTGGACCCCTCGGCCGTGGGTCTCGCTCTGCCATAACCCCGGGGTCTGGATGATCTTCTCCACCAGCTCCTCGAACGCACACTGGACACCGTCACGGGTCTTAGCACTCGCCTCTGCAGAGAGAGAGAAACAAAAAGGACAGATAGAGAGAAAAGAGGCAAAAGTGAACCTTAGGAGGTTAGTAGTCAACACCTGCTACACAACATGATGATACCCAGACTCATTAAGATGCTAATTAGACATCAATCTTAGTTACGAAATCTAATCAGAATGAATGTAGAAAAGGCCTAGGACATGGACATTTTAACAAAATATTTTAATTGAAAAATGTTTGATGAAGACAGAAACTAGAAATGCAAGCTCTTTTAAATAACGAAAAATCCGTAAAAATCAAAAACACCGGGCGAATAAGAGCGCATGGACGATGATATATTAAGCCCGTTTTATGAATAGAGCAATGCATTCCTCAGAAACGAGTTATTTCAAAGTGGTTTCCCCGGTGTAATGGCCTGCTGTAACTCATGCCCAGCAGCCCTTTGTAGAGCGGGGAATCCTCCTGACTTACCTATAAAAAGCATGGAATGTTTTCTTGCAAACTTCAGCCCCTCGGCCCTGTCTAGATCGTGGTTTTCCTAAAACAAAAGAGAGGTAATGGCTTATTCCAGGTCTGCCAGGCGGAGCCGTGAGCTGCTGTGGCCGTCAGAGAGGAAAAGTGAATTTCACAGACAAAGAACAGGACATTCATCATGCTCTACTTAGTGGGCATTTCATCCTGGTGTGCTGGTGAAGGAAGGAGCAGCTGCCAAAATATGAAAGTGAGTCTGCCACGGTCAGTTAGCTCTGTAATTTGTCAAATGGCTGTAAGATGATTTTCAGTTTTTTGAGGAAACTAATATTTAATTTCCTGTTCTCTGAAATATATGTTTATAGTAAAAGAAAAATGATATATAATGAATTATGCAAAAGCGCCCACCTTATCGATCTTGTTTCCAACAAGCATCTTCACGAGGTCGTTCCTCGTGCAGTACGTCTCCAGCTCATTGAGCCAGTTGTCCAGCTTGGTGAAGGTTTCCCGTCGTGTGACATCATACACTGGGACAAACCAAATACAGAATAGAGTTTCAGAATAAAGGCATACACACATTGTACATGTTCTAATACCTTTATTTGAGGTGCTGATTAAGACCACATGAAAGGCATTTCTTCTATGAATCCATGTTTTAAAAATATCCTATTATTAGACGTATACTATATCAAAAAAGACTAATATTACTTTTAACCCTTTATTCTCTGTAGTGATTATTGCTTTCAATTTAAAAAATAATACTTGATTGCTGTTTTATTGAAAAGCACTGACATAATAACACTTAACGTCCGTAATCCAGAGTTATTTCAACATGTAAAAAATGGTATAATACAACAAATTAAGATTAAAATAACCACCTAAAATAAAAAGGTATTAACGTAAAAACACATGGTAGATCAAACCAAGGGACTAAAGCCTTGTGATATCAGAAGGGAAGCGATCATAATCCCAGCGTTAGAGCAGGGCGCCTTGTGTTTCTATACATCATTAGAGTGGTCAGAAACCGTAAGCTGCAGAGGAAGTCTGTTTAAGAGTTTGAACTAAGTTCCTGCGTGTGTGTGTGTGTGTTCATATACAAGCTGTACATGCATGTCCATATGTGAAGTCTGACTTAAGGGCATAAACTAACTTCCAGAGAGCAGAGGCTAGAAAGTGTGCGTGTGCGTGGGTCACAGGATGAAAAGCCATCACTCTCTTAACAACCAGGAGCCTGACCTGCCTGATGACACACACACACACACACACACACACACACACACACACACACACACACACACACACACACACACACACACACACACACACACACACACACACACACACACACACACACACACACACACACACACACACACACACACACACACACACACACACACACTACAGGTGTTGGAGCAATGATGGCGTCGACGGCTCGGCTTACCCAGGATGACTCCCTGGGCTCCGCGGTAGTAACTGGGCGTCAGGGTTCGGAAGCGCTCCTGTCCCGCCGTGTCCTGCAAAACACAAGCAGCTCAGCTCTGAGACACTCACAGGGAAATCAGGACGCTCCAACAGACACAGGGAAAAGCAGGGCGGAAGGGGACGTAAACAAAAAGGCCGACTGCTCTGAGGGGAGCACGGAGGCAGGAGCGGTGTTACATAAGCGCCATCTACTGGCCACTGGAGGGAACATTCAGATAGGGGTCAGGAGACGGTTCATCTCTCTCCTCTAATTTACAGATAAGAGCCATATTTTAGTTTGAGGGGTGACAGGAGAGAGTGGAGCAGAGCTGACACTTACCCATATCGCCAGCTTTGCCTTGTTTCCGTCCACAGAAACGGTCTTCACTTTGAAGTCAACACCTGTCAAATAAAAACAAAAATCGGTCAGTAATCATGCAAAAATAATTATGAGAATCTGAATACTTTGCAGGAAATGTAGGTTGCTCCATTATATAATTAATTTAATTAAATATTTAAAAATAAAGAGAACAAATATAAGTTAAAGTAAGAATGAGCAATAAGAAGATTAAATATATATTAGTGTTAATAGGATATGAATGCTGAACTGCTCAGTTTAAAGGGGCTTAAGGCCTGAATCCCAGTATGGAGACTCTCCAAAATATCAAATCCCTGACAGACTATAATTATGGATGATGAATTGTCTGATCATACACACCACACTTTGTCTCTGAACTTCTGCTAACCCCAACTCTTCAGACTGGCATTGTGCCCTTCCCATGTCCTGTCTTTAAATCACAGTGTGACTGTGTGTTCATATCCACCACAAAGGGACGGTGTGTGGTTCAATGTCCTAAAGGTCTGTATTAGAGAATCCACCACCTGCACAACGGCTCAGGGAACCATGATTCACCCTGAGAAGTCCAGCCGCGAGAGGAAGAGACATTTACATGAAAATAACAACTCTGTCCCCCATCCCCTCAACAAGTAAATCTCCTCTATTGCCTTTGTGCAGTGTCTCGTCGTGTTTGCGTGACATATCTGGCCGGAGCTTTAGCATACACTGACAGATTTACCAGGGAAATGTACACTTGTGTCAGGCTTGTTTTTACATCTGGGGCTAGGGAGGAGAGTACAGCTCAGAGCCAAAACACAGGAGGAGAAGAGGGGACACGAAGACAGGCGGAGGATATATGACATTAGAATGCGCACCACACACAGGATAAAAAGCGTTCACACAGTCAATCACAACAACTAGCTCAAGTCCAGCAGGGTTGCTCGGATACTGTTGCCAAAAGCATGTGGAGAGGAGTTTCCGCTGAACGTTCCCCTAACCTTAGACCAGACGGACCTCTCCCAGAGAACATACAGTTACACATCTGTTCGGAACACAACAACATGCTACTGCTGGAAGTCTGCAGGCCTCAAAACAGCCCTAAATATAAATATGACATAAACACAACAAGGTGAGTCAGCGTTTCCCTGTCTTGTCTCTTTTTAACCCTTTGTAATGACTGATCCCAAGTGATGATAACTTTATCAAAGGGGACCCATCATGCTATATTTGAATAATATATTGTAGGGCCAGTACTCGAGTTGGGGGGGGATGAGGGGGGATGGCATCCCCCCTGAAATAAAAACGGTCAAAATCATCCCCCTTCTAAAACTGCCATCCCCCCTTTCCATCCCTTATGTCATTTTATCAATGAACTGGTTATTAGGGTTAGGGTTATATATATATAAATATATAAATATATATATATATATATATATATATATGCGTGCATATATGCATACATATATGTGTGTCTGTATATATTTATAAACTGTATATTATTTTTGATCATTCAATGGACAATGAAGTATTTGTACTTTTTTAATACAAACCATCAAACATATGTTCATATATAAAGTGGGTAACTATACAAAACGAAGTGAGATAACTGTTTATGAATATCAGTTCAACTTTATGTAAACTTGTGTAACTCATGAAAGATAAATGAGTGTTTCAATAAAACTATTACATATACAAATGTATAGTGCAGTTTTTGTTTTCATTGCAATATTAATTTTGTATATGTATCAATATATAGCCATACATGGTCCATGCATATATAGCAATATATTTAAAAATATAAGGACTACTTTCCCATATATGGAAATCTATGATCCAGTATATTGTATTATATTTACCAATATATTACAATATATTTTTGTTTCATAAGGGTATCAATGGGTAACAAGTTGAGACTGATTGTATGAGTTGGAGTTGGTGCGTTGGTGCGTTTGTGTGTATGTATCTACATGTGTGTGTGTGCCTTTGGCAGTGGCATGGGTCGAGCAGAGAAGTATTTCGCTTCACATCTTCAAACAGTGCCATGGTTCTTTGCAGCAGGCCCTGCAAACGGTCGCAGAGCCGGGGGGCGGAGAGGAGTCACACTGCTTCAAAAAAACAAGACACAACTGCAGGGCAGACCTTCTGATCCAAGAACACGCCCTGCGCCCACCGCAACAAGGAGGAGAGAGGGGGACGAGGGGGACTTCTCTATTGGCCGCTGCTTAACTCTCTCTGCAGCGCAAACAAGAGAAGAACTGATGCTACCATTACAGCCTTCATGCAGCCTAAAAACCTAACACAACACCATCACCCTCCATCTCTCCTCCTGGGAGTGGAGAATAAGTTGACCCCCCCGCCCCTTTATCTATTGAACTGTGCACATTTGTTGGTATGTGACCTTAAATTCATTCTCTTTTCCTCCGTACCAAAATCTCTAAAAACAGGGGCACAATGGAGCTGATCCAGATTTGCGTCCGATATGACGTAATATCAGAAATATGGGCTGGCTTTACAGCCACGGGTCACGGCCCTATCAGAAACGTTGCTATCAGAAACAATGCACAACGGGTTTTGGACGTAATATGTTCTGTGTTTACATTAGCAATCATCGCTAACACTCAGAGCTAACGCTGTACTTGGGAGAGTATGTGTAAATAAGCAGGAAATTACAAAAGGAACTCACCTTGTGGGAAACCCGCAAGAGGGAAAGCTTTTGAGCTCCATACTGTTTCAGAAATAATGCTTGATGTGGTTTGGAACATAATATGGCCTTTAATCACGGCAGCGTTTAGCTCAGCTCAGTTTCTGCTGGTAGACAGCCTTCTCTTCACAGAGCTCACTGCTTGCATGGGGATGCTCCAAAGGGGCGTGGCCAGCAGCAACTTGGTTACATTTAAAGGGCCAGACCCATAATCAGCACTTTAGTAACAGGGCTGAAATAGAGGCGTATGAGGCATGCTACAATGGGTGATCTGTTTGGTATTTTGAACAAAATACTTCAGAGACATGTTTTGTATTGCATTATTTTCGTTTTGATTGACAGAAGACTGAAGTAAAGATTGTTGTTGTCATTTCACTTCCAGCTTGTTTTTTCTTGCCCAGAGGACAACATAAGTACAAATTGGCTCATCATACCCCACACTCCCTACTAGAGAGACACAATGGCAGTATTTGTCCAAGTAGTGTAACAATACAGTAATCACTTTTGGAAAGTATCAAGATGTAGTTGCTTGAATATGATACAATTCATAGTTTTGTTTTTGACAGTTTTCTGGTCGATGATAAGCTTTGGGGGTAAGGGCCAATACTTCAGGGGTTCTTGATAATGGAAGTGCAACTTCAGACACGAGAATGGAGTTGCAAATAACAGGAGATGTACAGTATACAATCTAGATGTGTCATAAGTAAGTATACATTCAGGTAACAGCTTACAAAAAATGGATAGCCGATTGGTTCCTAGATTGCATTTCTGTCAGTTCCTTCTGCATTCTTCTGTCAGTTCCTTCTGCATCTTTTGCTCTCCACAATGACTGTTCAACTGCATACTAACAGAGCCCACTCAGATTATATTGGTTAATACTACCTAGACACAAACAGCAACCAGAATGCTTCTGATAACAAAATCCTGTCCCATTACCTTCAGATTTCAGAATCGGTTCTGCAGGGAGAGCTATATACTGAACATGAAACAGTCTGTATATGATAAAATGATCTAAGGTCAAAGGTCCCCTCAGAAGCTTTGAGGCAAAGGAGTTGTCATGTCACATGGTAGTCTCAAGTCTGAGTTCCAAATCTAAAAGAAGTCCAAATCCCTAAATGTTTTTGAATCCTAAACGTCATTATACACCCTTCAACAAATTCAGTGTCATTTAAAAAAGGAGGGGAACAGTTGGTGACTAGAATGTTGGGAAAAGGAAGAGTTTATTCCCTGCAGCCCTTTTTTTTATAACTTGGGGAGAATTAAGTAATTCCATGTCAAAAGGCTGAAGTCCCAGTCAGGTCTAGAATAATATCTGTCAAAGTCAACTAATAAGTTTTATATTTTTAAGTTCACACGTCCCTTTCGAAACAAAAAAGTATCTAAAAGTTCATGATCGATAACCCTAGCAGTACAACAAACGTTAGTTACAAAATGGCCAAGATGACTTCCTACATTCTAAAGTCCCTTTCATAAACACTGCCCCCATGAACTTGTCTACCTTTGTAACCCCCCACTCCAAATCAGTCAGACAGCACATCATCTGGTCTTTACAAAGACCCCAATGATACCGTCTAAATGGAGAGATGATGATCTTCAGGAATGAATGTGCGTAATGGTTGGCGCAGAAATGATCAGCTAAATTCTTGGAACGGCAGGAGACAGATTAAAAACGAGTAACTTGAAGTACTTATTGAATCTTGAATTCTTACATCTACCTGCAGGCACCACCTAACCAGACAATGTATTTTCAGAAGTTAACAAAGCGACTGACAAGATAAGATAAACCTTTATCGATCCCCATAGGGAAATGCAGGTGTTTTAGCAGCCACAGGAAGATAATATCCTGCTGAGTGCTTCATGTGTGAAAGTGCATCCAGACCTAATACTCAAGACATTTTTCGGATTTCATGTGCCTAAGGCCCCGTCCACACGGAGAAGAAACGGGTTGTATCCATTAGATACATAATTGTTAAATTAGTTTAATCGGTCTGACGTCACTGGTTGTATCACAAGCATTACAAAATTACAAATAGACCCTGCTAGATTAAATAGTTTACAAAGGGCTGTGACCAGGGGCCTCATTTATAAAGGGATATACGCAAAAAAAAATGGCGTACGCCAGTTTCTATGCAATGTTTGCAATTTATAAAATACTAACTTGACGGGAAAATGTGCGGTCCTCCACGCAAACTCTAACCCATGCGTACGCACTAAGCACAAAAACGGGAGAGACGAGAAACTGCGACACCGTTGACACCAATGTCACCTCTCATTTATCATATATGAAGAATTCATTTTCACAAATTGATTAAAGCCAATCTTAAAATGATTTAACAAACGCCAGTTTGAGACTCCTCAGTGCACACACAAACATAACTTGGAGAAATAAATAAATACGGATATGTTATTTAAAACCACCTCGAATATGTTGTGTTAATGTTATGAAATGTTTTCTCAAATGATGCGGTAAGCAGGAGGACAGAATTACGTCTAAACTGACGCCGTTTTGCATTTCTATAGGTTGTAGATACGAGCATGGTTTTATATACTATCATGTTTAATCGTGTTTTATGCCGTTTGCCAATACTTGATAAGTCGCTCGTAAAACACAGGAGGTATGGAAACTAAGAACACCATATGTGGTAAATTGTACAGCTAATATAACACAAGACATTAGTTGTATTTCCTTTAACTGGTGGATATAGTTGCTGCTGGGGGGTGCTGAGATGCACAGGCTGCAGTGGAGACGCTGCGCACAGCTGATCGACAGCTAGGACACAAACCACCAAATACAAAAACATAATTCAGATCCAGTCGTCATGACTCCACTCCGAAGGAAGTTCACTGCGATACCTTCTTACAGTTTTCTCATCAAGGGGGTGTCTCCTTGTCCTTCGTCAAACCACCACTGTTGCCTGGGAGGGGAAGGCTATGTGATTCTTAGGCATTAACGCTTTTTTCGGGGACCACTTCTTTATTTATTTTCGGTGACGATGCCGAT